GACATGAAAAATGAGAGAGCATGTTCGTTCTGCTTCTCGGCTGTTGGGGATGTTGGAAGCGCAACCCTTGACCGACCTTCTTGTCGAGCACTCTGTGAACGCTCGTTGTCGATAGATAGCTCGAGCTCGGCGATACGGGATTCGAGCTCTTCAATGCGCTTAGAGTACTTGATCTCTTGGTCTTCAAGCAGTCTGATGACCTCGTTAGTATCCTCGGTGTCATCATCAATGACGTCCTTCAACTTCTCACGAGTGTCTCGTAGTGCACGCTTGGATTGACGGAGTTGGCTTCTTGCCGTACGGAGTTCGTCGAAAGGTGTCGCCATGTTAGATCCTAATTGGGTAACACAAAAGCCCAACTGAGATCTTGAGCCAAACGGCTACGGTATATATACGGGACAAATCATGCAAATCATCGCAACACTTTGACTTCAGTATCATCAACTCGGATAGTTTCACAGCCAGCCGTTTCGGAGCCGTCCCATAAGATATCTAGGGCGCCAGACCTGCGCACGCCACAAACTCGGCCTGAGGACCAGTAACGACGGGGACGACGGAGGCCGGCAGATATACCAGTGGCAACAGAGATACGCATCCCGACACGAGAGGGAAGTGGTTCTTCTATGAGACAATCTTCGGTCTCATCATACGTACGAACTTGACCAGGTAGCCCGCCGTCTCCGTAACGGGGCACCGGGATATGACGACATAACGAACGAGACCCTTCGGCAAACACTCCCAACCTTGAAGGAGACCTGGGCGCGCACATTTACAGAACTCTTGAACGAGCGCCGGCATCCCAAGGAATTCAAACGAGGCAGATGCTTGCTTCTTCCGAAACCCCGTCGAGACCCCAGAAAAGCCAATTCGTGGAGGCCCGTAGTCCTACAGTCTTGCGTCAGCAAGCTGCTGGAGGGGGTGATAGCAGACCGAATATACCACGAAATTGCCTCAGCACTGCACTGTCCCGAGATCTTCGGGTTTGTTCGGTCTAAATCCAGCGATCAGGCCGTGCAT